AAGTTCTTTACTCCGAGTTTTTCGGCAACAACTTGAACTTCATGACTGGTCTGTTGTTGCTATATAAAATCTCGTGTCGACACATCTTCTAACCCATTGCTGTTAACTGTGGTGGAAAACATCACAGATTTTTACGTTATAATGCCAGCTTCATCTTAACTTATTTTCTGGTTTGTTTTTTTTTTTTTTAAATTGTTTTCATAACCCTGATCACTGCTGGTTTTAATCACCATTGTGTTAAAAAATGCCTTTATCTTCTGAGAAAGTTACTGAACTAAATGGTTGCCTTAGAGATGTGCAATAGCAGAGTGCATTGGCCATTTATGTGTCTTATCCCTTTGATGCTCTGAAAGTGCTTATGAGAGATGACTGACTCCATGCCTCGGTGTTCCAGGCCTTGTTGATTATTTTGTGTAGCTGTCAGTATGATTCCACATTTAGAAACTAGTTTACTTCATTTTACGTGAGTAATGACAGGGAAGTTAAAGAATGGTTGATGGCATAGGAGGGGGGAATCTTGTCTTTTATACATTGCACATTTAATAAGGAGCAAAGCTACTGTGTAACTTGTAGGAAAAGAAATGTTGGAATTTTATGTTCTGAATTTATTTCTGTACCAAAAGTTTTGGCTGATATGCTTCAGTAATGAAACTTTTAACTTTTATATTGCAGCAAAATTCCAGCCTTTCTGAATGTGGTGGATATTGCTGGCCTTGTGAAAGGAGCCCACACTGGCCAAGGCTTAGGAAATTCCTTCTTGTCTCATATTAATGCCTGTGATGGGATCTTTCATCTGATGCGTACGTAAACTTATTTATATATTCTCTCTATAGCTTAAGGACAGCATTGTTGTACTTTTAGTTAAGAACTGTGGAACAGATACTCATTACAATTTTTAACTTTTACCATTCAATTCAAAGTCACCAGGTTTTGGGTTTTTCCAACCAAGGAAATCCCCATCGTCTGCTGTATAATGGGTACGTCTTTCTTCATTAGCTTGTGCTGAAGACTTAAAAAGGAGATGGCTTTTTGGAAGTCTATGGTAATGGTTTGTTGTTTTCTTTTGCCAGCAGTGCATGGCAGTTGATTTGTTTAGTTTTATAGGAGGAGAAATGGAATGGGGTAATAAAAGGCTGAAATGGAAGTACAAAGTGAAAATACGGAGTTAGTAGCAGACTCTGGATCCTGTTCCTCGCAGGGCAAGCCTCACTTCTTTCCTTTTCCTGATTTCTGTGTGATGTCATTGCATTGAGCCTTGAACACATCCCCCACCCCCCGTTTCGGTGAATTCTGAACTTCGACCAGGGGCTTTGATTCTCCCTTTTGTCACCTATTACCACAATACAGAACTGGCCTTCAGAGTCATATTAACAGCACGTACCAACTTGGTGCTTCAAAGCTTGTTGAAAACCTGTGTTGGGTTGCAATACACCTTTGTTGCTGTCTTTTGGCTGGCCATTATTATACAGTGAATGAGGAAACTATAGAACAAAATAAACAACAAAAAAAATAGAAATACTTTTTATTTGGTGATTGGAGCAAAAATTTTTTGTGGGCAGAATGTTTCTAAAACAAAACCCAAAGGCATGGAATATTACTGTCTTACAGTACTGACTTAGATGATTAGAACTCTTATTCCCATGAGCTTGTCTTTTGAAGCATATTTATACAGAGCAGTGAACTGATATGCTTCTGCAGTCTGCATGCTTGGTTAGTAGGTAAGTGTGCTACCTCAGTCAAACACAATTTATTATGCATCAAGAATACTTAGACACTGACTTGTTGCAGAGTGTTGATACTGTTTTCAATCAAGTGAGACAAACATTGTGGGGAAAGCTGTGATGTTCTTAGGCTGATACTGGTGAAAAACAGCTTTTGGGAACATTAGACTTTTTTAAAGGTCTTCTAATACCTGGAAACCATCTATAATTGTGCATGTGTGGAGCATTACTTCTCTTTTGAAAACTTGGCTTTATTTATATTTTATATTTAATACTGCTATTTTCTGTTACAGTTGTTTGCATACTTTCATTAGAATAGAAAACTATGGGCTATTGATTGTAGCTAAGCAGTTAATAATATTTAAAACGAAGACATTTTGAAAAGATGAGGCCAGATCCTTACTGGGAGGAGTGAAGTAAGTCTTTTGAACTTGTGCATCATTTTAGGAACTAGTTCAATATGTGAAGGGTGTACTGATATATCAGTATATTTTAAATATTTGTTACTACTCAAGAACCATTGCTACAGTACCCCTAGAAAAAAAGGAGGATCAGTTTTCCTCAAATCCATTGCTATCCTGGGACTGTAATTACTGTTTTGCCTGGTGTCAGTTGAGAACAATTGTTAAACTGTTTATACTTGCTCTGTTTTGATATTGTATCCTAAATGCTTGTTAAGAAACAGATTGATATAATAGCCAGTGGATGCTTTTTAATCTAAATGTTGAATAATCCTAAGCATTTGTTTCAGGTAGCTGTTAATAAGGCTTTACACCATTTGTATTTTTATTTGGGGATTGAAAGAGGAATAAGACTATTGTGGGTTTTTAAATCATTTGGATACTTACTTTGTATTAACATCTATTTCTTCTAATCTAGTCTTGCATTTATTTGTCATATGTTTCAGTTTCTTTCAAGGATTCTAAAATGTAATGGTTGTGAAGTGATTGTTGCTGGTCTTCTTCTTTGGGAGCAAAGAAGATAATGGAATCTTTTAAATAGCACTTTTTCCTTTTTCTTTTTAGAATCTTATCCCTGCCTCTTATGCTGTTCTTGTTAGATGTCTTAACTAGAAGGCAAGCTGATGTTGAACTGAAGTAAAATTTTGTGTTGATTGTCCAATAAACACAAAGATCTTTCAAAATATTACTTAGGGATAATAGTAATAATAATAAAAACCTGATGGAAAATTTTGTGGTTGAGAGATGTAAAACTACTTGTTTTTTCCCTGCAAAGTGCATATTCTACTTTCCTTTTCCCACAGTACTATAAAAATTAAGGTTTGGCACTAAAAGCTAGTAATATCCCTCTAGTAAATTAAAAAAAAAAAATCTATTGGTCATACAGCACAAACTCTAGTTAAAACCTGTAACTCACTGAAGTTTTCAACATACTGTACCAACTTATATTCTAAAAATGTGTAAACCTTTTTTAAATGCTGTAATGTTTTCACACCCACCCACCCCTCAAAATTATTTCTAATCTAAAAATCCCTTTTTATGAGTCTGTGGCATACCTGGAGTTTGCACAGTTTCTATCAGATTATAGAAACTACCTAAGCTGTTTTTGTAAATCCTTAAACTTTCCAGATCCTGAGAGGATGAAACTTTGTTGCCCTCTGCCAAGGTTTGGTCCAAGTTCTTAATGGACTGTGTGTCTTTAGGGACCAGTGCCCTGAGACTGGCCATCAGTTTTCAGCCTGGCTAGCGGGCACTGAATCTCTGCAGTCGTGTAGAAGCTGACTTAAAAGCCCAGAGAGGTTGCCCCTATTAAAGGGGAATAGGCAGTGGACTAGAAGGTGAGGCTTTGTATGCTGGCAAGCTGGAAAGAGGCATTGCTGAAGATGAAGAGGAGAATGATAAAATCTTAAGATAAGATGCACTAGGAAGTGATCTGGGGACTGTGCTTTTTCAAAGCGTGGGAAAGTTAGTGTTTGTTTTCACTAAGGTTTTGAGTTTATCTGGAACAAATTTTCACCTTTGAGGACTGAAACTGTTGCTCCCTGTCTTTATGCTGTTGTGGTGTGTGGTGTGCACTACTGCTGCCCGTGTTAATGGCTAGCATGTGAAGCAGAGCCCTTTGGAGAGTTGATCTTTTCTTATTTCTGAATGCCAGGCAGAAAGTCAGAAGTAAGGTCATTGTGGGATTTGTGCTGTAGACTTCAAGGTCTGCATGCCTGAGTGTGTTAAAAAAAGGCTTGTTAGGCTTTGACTTGGCCTGGTTCAGTTGGTATTTTTGCAAAAAGCAGTTTGAGAATTAACTCACTCAAGTTGTATTAATTAAGGTAATGGTAGGCAAGGAAACAGCTAGCTAGGAATGGAGAGCTTTTGTTGAGTCTGATGAGCCAAACTTTGGGAATCTCACTGAAGGTGGGATCCTGTTTTCTTTATTCATTGGGAATGTGTTGAACTGTGTTTTCTTTAGGACAAAATGTTTGTTTGTGGTTTTTTTTTAGCTGCCATAACAGAATTCACTGTTGTTGCTTCTTTGTGTTACGATGTGTGCCTATCAGTTTATCCACCGCAGGGCTCAGAGGTGAGCTGCAGCTGTAGTATCCTCAAAGTAATTAAAATTACATTTCCGTTGGAACTGTGGAAGTTCTCTGTGGTGTTTAGCTAGACTGTTTCTTGCATGGCATAAAGCTGAGGAGAAACAAGATTTATTTCTCTCTGGCTAATTCTTAACTTTCCTTATTTAATTTAAAAAGGAAAGTACCCCAACCTTGAAATGCTTATGGATTTTCAGCCTTCATATTTCCATATCCTAGATATACTGTTACTTTCTTTGGGAGACACAGTGTTCATTAAATCAGTGAAAACATTTGTTTTATGTCTAAGGTATGTTTTAATATATCTAAAGAAACAGCAACATGTGTGAGAACAGCACGTGGTAGGGTAACAGGACAAGTAAACGGAGAGGTGAGTTTGTGTTGAGCACCACTGTATTTTTATACATAATTAGTAACAGTATGAAGTAGATTCTCTTAGTTCAGCAAACAAGGTAAGTTTTTCTATATAGAATAAAGCAATACTTCTTGGGTTTTATACTTCCTATAATTTTTTTGTTCTATTAAAGTGCACAAACTGAAAATGAATTACTGACATTTAAAATAAAACATTTCATCTCAATACACTTAAATTTTTTTGAGGGTTATGCCAGTTTTTCCAGGGGTAGGGTTATATTTAATTTTTCGCTGAATCCAATTATGGAAACCTCAAACAGATATACTTGTTTACTTATTGTCTGAGTGAATGGGGAATTTAATTTTAAAACTGTTTTCTGTCCTGGATCGTGGCATCTACAGCATTAGGACTATAGTAACCTGACACATGCTTTAAAGTAGTTACATCTTTGTTCATCTTATGAATTTCACTGCTTAATTTGAAACATTTCTGACAGTTCTGTTTTCCATGTTTCAGGTGTATTAGTTTTAACTGAGGCAGCAATGTTTTTGTGGTGGCAGAAGGCGGGCTGTTTGAAGATTGTAACAGTGTTTCTTCCCAAGCTGCATGGCTTTAACTACCTTTAAACTTTTATGGCAGATCAGTCACGAGTACTTGTGGAAAATTACTTTCTTTGTATGGTAGACTAAAAATGGCAGCCTTGTTATAAGTGTAAATTTACAAATTACTCTTAAATAATGCTTCAGCGAAGAAAATGGTAGTTGTCAGTATTCAGTCCCTGCTACAGCCCTGAGTTTTTGAATGTACTGGATGTTAAACAGACAGAGCTCTTCATGTTTTTGAGTTTCTCTTCCCACTGATATCCTGCAGTCCTAGTTTTCTAGAAAATATGTTCCACATTTTTCTCTTTATTTTTAGTTTCTTTAATGAAATGCAGTCTTTCTCTTCAAAGTTACAGAAACTGGAAGGAAATTTGTCTGTGAAAGTACTTTGCTATCAAATGCTCCTCCTTAACAAATAAAAAAACTTTGGGTTCGCTGCCCAATGTTTGAAGTGGGGCAGGTAACATTGGCTTTTGTGGAAGAAGTTGGGAGCTCACCTGTATGCCATTGCCTGGTCTCTCAGTTCTGCAGAGGAATGTGCACGTGAAATGGTGCTGGGGGAGCGCAGGCAGGT